CAAGCAGGCGCGGATCCAGGGGAGGTGAAAAGGGTGATTTTGATGCGACGCTGAGAATAAGGACTCTTAAACGCGTTTTCTTGCGTATTGTGTGGTTATTTTAGCTTTAGACGTGCCTTGTGCCTTGATTTTGCAGCAGCGCAAATAAATAAAGATTCTTAAACGCGTTTTCTTGTGTATTGTAGTTATTTCTTTTTTAGATTAATTTGTGTCTTTTGTCGTTTTTGCGGCGTCAGCACATAGGAATAAAGGCTCTGAAATCATTTTATTTGCGTTTGTTTGTTATTTTAGATTTGTTTTTAGATTTTAGTTTTGATTTTGTAGCAACGCTAGTGTTGCACTTGCACTACAAGCCAAGTCTAACCGCAATTATGTAACATTGGTACGCGTGGCCGAGTGTAAGTGCCTTCTTTTCTAGATCAGACGTCTGAGTTTCGAGACTCAGAGGAGCTGACATCTCTTTAGATTTCTTTCTTTGCCAAAAAATAAATAAATTCAGTCAAATATAGAACAAGGAACCCGGTAACGGTAAATTAATCAGTAAATTACTAGAAAACAACGAGAATAAATTAATAGTTCTGGACACAAGTAACGCAGGCTCAAGTTTACAGGAAAGTGAGTGACTGAGTGACTGATTGATTGAGTGAAAAGCTTGTCGACCGTTGAAATATTGTGATGAACATGAAAAGGCAGTATTCTTTACAACTTCAGGCAAGGGAATATGAAAAATAAAGAACAAAAAAATCCAAACAAGCTTTGAATGACGCAAGCCACGCTGTCTCAGTAAAAACACCCACTGATTTTTTGTTTGAATCTAAAGAGAGCAAACAGATGTGAGAGAGTGTTATGATAAAGTTTCTTCCTCCGTCAGGTGATCTCAGGAGAGAAAAAAATGATATTTTAGTTTTAAATAATTTTTAAAGAAAACAGGAAAAGGACAATTATTCAGTTTAAATAGATTTTACCGAATTGTATTGTGATGGTAAATTTAAACATTGGAATAACACCGTCAAAAGACTGGTTTCCTGTAAAAGTACTTTTTACATTTGAATCACAAATAAACTCATTAAATCTTCAAAATGGAAGTTGYATTTAACTGTTTTCAARTGGATGATTGYCTTTAATAGAAAAATAACTGACATAAATTTAAATCGCTTGAGGATCGTTTCTATATAAATAATATATATGTAAACTATATATATGATGTTATTCTTGGCATTCTCACATCATACGTCAATCCCAATTATACTGCTAACTTTCCCAATGTCCAAGCAAAATGTCCATTCATCAGTGGTATTAGTGAAAAAAGTATAATTATAATTGCTTTTAATAAGCATTGTTATACAAATTACACAAAATTCGTCAGTCAAGACTTCTTTCACAACATATCTTCATTCAGTCCGTCCTATCGATCAGTGAAGCACTGTCCACTGTTAAAGCAAATCCTATAACAGTTCATACTTGCAATGGCAAATAACTCTTCTAGTGTCGTGGTCTCTACTAATACTACACCCGATGTTTGCTTTTTTTCCGTACCAGAGTTTGACCCTCATAACATGAACCGTCCAGATTCAGTTCACCMGACTTGGACTTTTCTTGCTATCGTCAATGGTCTTGCTGCCCCMCCGACAATTGTCGTCAACGCCCTTGTCATATGGGCTGTGGTYGGGAATGAGAATCTTCGATCCTCTGCCTTCAACATTTTACTTGCCTCTTTGGCAGTCACTGATTTACTGACAGGATTGCTGGTCGAACCTTTGTTCTGTCTTTATCTAGGATGTCTTCTGAACAATTGTCTTTTRCCTGAATGTACATTCACTGCGTACGTTTTATCGTTGCAAGTTTGCGGTAGTATGACAATGGTCAGTTTTGCAATCGCGAGTGTTGAGCGGTATTTAGCCATTGAACACCCGAACTTTTATCTCCAGAACATTAMAGGAAAGAAAGTTAAAGTAACTACGATAATTTCCTGGACAATAACTGTGGTGTGTTTGTTGAGTACTACCGCTTTACTGAACCAAAGAAATCCTAATTTATCCAAAATTCCAGCATCAATATTCATGAGTATTATAGGAGTGATAACTTTGTTCTGCTCAACCAAAGTTCAGCTAACAGGTTTTCTTCAGAGTAGAACCATCGCTCTGCAGCAAGAATCAGTTCAACAGCTAGACGAACAGCAGCAACAAGAACAACGACTCCAGGAATACAAGCGAGTGTTGACGATGACCATGTTAGTGTTTTTTTCGGTTCTCTTTTATTCTCCCTTGCCTATACTCGCAGTGATCGACACCATGCAGGTCAAAGATGACACAAGTAATTTTCAGTACATCGCCTCGACTATTTGTGTAACATTTATACATCTCCAGTCTCTTATCAACCCAATCATCAYGTCACTGCGTCTGTCTTACATTCGCGAAGCCATCAAGAACAAKGTACATATCCTTGTGCAGGGAACTGATTAAAGTACATTTTCACGTTAAGTGTCTCTCTAATGCTCGGTTCTKTCCATCTCCAGTCTCTTGCCAACTCAATCCCCATCCCACTTCGTTTATTCCACATTCCGTCCAAAGCATCAAGAGCACGTCAAACAATTGAACAGATTCAGTAAGCATTATACTATCACTGTCTTAGCAAGCCAACGACAAATAATAAGGAATTTGCTTACTGTCGAAGGAGACGCTAGAAACGCAAGCCATTGATATTCAGGACTTTAGACCAACTCAATGGTGACTTCCATGAACATCAAGGCAACATGTRAGTAAATATCTTAATTGATCTGAAATAATATGCTTGCTTACTTGGCATCAATGAGACACATAGCATTTATTGATACATTATTGAATAAATAAGACAACAACTATTATCCAAGCATTAGGGACTGTAGGTCGATCATGAACTTAGTCAATTCAGAGAGGTTGCGGATACAATACATTARAAATGCTTGTTGGGTACTGCAACAAAAACGATCGAAAAAATGTTAATAGTTTTATAATGGTAATTTGTTTCGTAAAGGAAACATCTAGCAGCCATTAAAAAGAGTTCTTTTTAAAGTGCAAATGAACCTTTTAGAAAATCATTTTCAAAGGSAAATATGATGCTAATCATTGTTTTGAAGAAAAAAAATGTTTGAATTTTGTTTTCTGAGCCCGGGGGGGTACTCGA